GACTCACATGCTTGCTATATTTACTCATCAAATCACACACAACAATATGTTTTATAACACCAAGTTACTGGTGTATTTTCATATCATCAATGTGCAACCGACTTGTAAACTGCAACTTTCAAGAATATAAGATTTATCGTCTCACAATCACTCATGATAAAATCCATGAAGTGATTCAAATGAGCGTGGGTTTAATCCAATATTTAAATCTTGTTACAGGAGTACTCATGAATACTGCAACAAACTTGTCTTGATTAATAGGCATAATCAAAGATTAATTTATGCATAAACATAAAGAACCTTAAATTGATTGACGAAAACTTAATTGAAGGTATTGATGTATTCTATGGTGTTGAACATGATGCCATACTTTGATTCTTTTCACTTCCCGTAATGGTGATTCAATGATAATCTGATGGATTGATTTCAACACATATCTTCATGGTGTTTATATAGAGAAAACATATGAGGAAAAGTGATTGTTCAATGTAACCTCATTATACGTTTCTCCCATATGTGTTGAGTTATCAAATTGCACCTTATGGGTAAGTTATAGAACCACACATATGAAGTCCCTCAAGTTATAGACAAATATCATATCTATCATACTACATATATATAAGTCTAGGAACTGAGATGTCATTAAGGCAAATGTTATGGTATACAATATAATAGTACCAACATGTAATAAGTAATACAAGATAGTCCAAAGGCCAGATTAACGGGTTATTTTACAACATTCTCCCACTTGGCCAAGTGACTATCTGTATACATGTTTTGTTCTATTGGCCAAGTTATATTCATCATGTTTCATATTAACACCAAAAGCAGAAAAGTACAACCTTACGTGCCATTTTAGACGCGAGACCCCCACCGATCTTACTTGAGTGCTTCATATGAAACTTACGATTAATTTAAGCCAAATGACATAAGATTTGAGTGGTAATGTGTGACAACCCGAAATTCCTAGCTTGTACAAACATTCAAATCTATCAATGTTAGACTCGTTTTTCTATCTTTTAGTGCAATTTATGGTCTATTTGAGTGTTCTAAGCCTAGTATAATCTAGGAATGGGTCTTGGGATGAGTATTTGTGAGTGTAACACCTTGCAAATGAGCCAAACACACCAACATAAGGTGTGTGCGGCCACACACCCATCCCAGCCGCACACCCAACCTCAAAATCAATTTAACCACACACTCTCATGTATATAGATGGCCCTTGGTCATTTTTGAACACTTTTCCCACTTCCTCAAGTCTAGAACTCGTTTTCTCTCAAGTATCAACCATTTTTCTCTTCAAATCTTCAAATCAAGTAAGTGTTGCTTCCTTGAATCGTTAATGCAAGGCTTTAACTAGCCTTTACCTTTGATTTAATCCATGAAAACACCTATTTGGTGTTAGATCTTCAAAAATACCAAGAACATCAAGAACACACACTACTTTTTTTTACTTTAACTACACTTTTAAGCCTCTAAATCGGGTATACACTTGCAATAGCTTGATATAAGCTAAGGACCCTTGAATTTATGCATGAAAAACGCCATTTCATATGATCTTCAAGTTTGTACGTCCGCACACACCATGTGTAGCTGTACACACCCTTTTAAAGGCCCAAATTAGCATCAAACTTCCATTCCGGCTAAGCAATGGTCAAAACACCTTCCCTAGAACATTCCTAAGGTTTGGAAACATGTTTTGACACAATTCATAGTGAGTGTGCGGCCGCACACACACTTGGCCGCACACTCTGGCCGCACACACATAAAACCCTTGATTTTGTGGCCTTACACTCCAATATAGGGCGATACATCCCTTATGTACAACCATATGTGTTGGTAAGACTTAATTCTAAGTGTTTTTATGTCCCTAAGGCGTGTACCTATCAACATTAGTGGTTATATACATTAAATGTATTCATATATGTGTAATTATATGTTAAATAGGATTCGTTTGTGCTCAAGACTCCAATTGACATCCAACAATCCTATAATGATCTTTCATTCGAGTTACTCACTACAGGTGAGTTCATACCCTTAATCTACATTTTAAATGATTTTAAATGCTTTTATGGGGGGATACAAGTTGAAACATTATAGTTGGTATATCAATCACATGTGATTAATAACTATCAAATAAATGGATTTACTATACTTTTGACTGTTTTATCAAACAAACTACTTCAACATGTTTATGAAATTCTTTTACATACTAAACTCTTTATCAAACTTGTTCTTATATGCCAAACCTTTCCTTTTAACCCTTTCAAACTTATATATTCTCAAAACCATGTCTAAAGCACATATATTTATATAAGTAAGGTTTGAAGGACTTAGGACTAATAACTCACTTGATTTCCTGTTCCTTGTTTGGTTGTGGACTTAGAGTACCTTGTTGTTTTTCCGAGTGTCGTTTGATCCTTAGTTATATATTATGTATATATTTATAGACATAAAAGCTTTTATCTCAGTTCAATACCTTTGGATAGCAAAGGTGTACACACATGTCCATTTATACAAACAACTCTACAAGTAAACTATAATAGGTATAGTTTAGGAAGTCACTACTCATTATTTCTAGTACAATGAAACATACAAAGAGTCAGTTCATACATGAATCAATACATATTATAAAGAGAAACAGATAGAGAATACTATAACGAGAAACAATATTCACTATAAAGAGAAACATATAGAGAATACTATAATGAGAAACAATACATACTATATACTATGCAAGAGAACATACTATGATGAGAAACAGAGAGAACATACTATGATGAGAAACAGAGAGAACATACTACATACTAGACAGAGAGAACATACATTACACTAGTACATATAATACATATAAAAGAATACTATAACATAAATGTGAGTCACTACTTCGAGGCATGGCATCACTGCTATGGTTCGTTTTGTAACCAGAGTCTCCTGGAGGGAGAGCGTGAATTTATGTATAGATCTATATGGGACTGACCGTCCTACACCTTGCTGCTAGCTAAAGTGGGACATGCAGGTCTACGGGGACGAATGTCATACCATTTCGACGTCTTCGAGGGTCGTGTTCTACTAATTCGATCAAGTATGGTTACAATTATACCACATTATACCTTAATTAACATTTGGCTTAAGGTAGTTAGTACAGCAGTAGTTACTATAATACAACGCTAAAGTACTTTATTATTTTCCCCATTGCATTCACATTGTGATCTTCTCACATAAACGGTAATGTAAAAACTCTATTTTGTTAATGATAGTCACACTTAGGAAAAATACACTTTTACAAGAAACAAACATACATAACATTTGATGCCTTGGTAGGAGGCTACTTTTAGTAGAAAATATAGGATTTTCTAGGAGATACAAACATTTACTACAAACTTTCACAAACTCATACATCAGAAGCTTTCAAACATTTTCATACAAACAATGACACTAAAATGCTTATGAACTCACCAACTTTAAAGCTGATAAACTCTTTCAAAATAATTTGTATTCTAAGGTCATCAGTAGGCAGGTACCTATGCCAGGTTTTGAGAAGATGGAGCACGTTCAAGACTCATCTCTTATTTTGATTTATATTTTTGGTGTCTTATAACTATACAAACGACACTTCTATTAAAATTATATTATTAATGCAATGGATGATGTTGTTGCTTGTTTACTATTATGATTTATTGTGATACTGTACATGACGTCCTCTGCCTCGGAACGTTTCTGTTGTTCAGGTTTTGGGGTGTGACATAATACAATACAATTGTCTATATACAAAATAAGTGTGCACAATTTATTAATATAGACAAATTGCATATAAAGGAGGAATAATAATCAAGTACTTGAATAATTAAAATTAAAAGTTTTAGTAAAGCACAATGCCAAAATTAAATTATACTAGGTCTAGCCTTAAACCTATATTGACGTCATGTTGAAATACTTCGGTGTAGACCTTTCATCAACGGATCCGCTGGCATATTATTAGTGCGTATGTGCTCGATAAAAATGTCATTATCCTCCATTTTCTATTAAACGAAAACGTATTTTGTATCGACGTAAAGCCCCATTCCACCATAATTATTGCTGGTGGGAAAACTTACAAAGGCAAATTTATAGCAATAAGTTTTCCTTCAATGTCTTTCAAATGGAATTCACTATCATGAGTAATGTGATTTAATTTCTCAACAACATTCCATGAAAATTTTCATTATCTATGAAAACACATTTCGCCATTATAGTTGATATAGTCGTCAATTTATTTATGAATCTCCCATGATATTGGCCAACTGATAGCATAAAGATGCATCCCAATAATGACTATTTTCATTTTAATAACTTAGAGTCAAAATCATATCACTTATAGAGTCAAAATCATATCACTTATAAGTTATCACTTTATTTTCTAAACAAGTTTGTTATTATTAGTCCCATGAAAGTATCAGAAAATTTTATTGGCAGTTTTCTAGTGGTTTAGACCGTGATTTAATTGATAACAGCTAAGCATGCCACTAAAAATGTGTACCTTAACTATGGAAAGAACTGAAGGGAAGTATTGTTGCATTTTTTTTATCAACTTACTACACACTCAACATATGTCTTTCGGGATAAGTGTAAATCCCTTTTGATTCCTCGATGTATTTATATTCCTATTGCATACTAGGCTTCACTGATATCTTTCATATCAAGGTGATGAGACAATAAGTGTTTTGATTTGTGCAACATATCAATGTTATTACTCACCAAGAGAATGTCATATCCATATAGTACGAGTATGATAAAGTTCCTCCTAGTGATGTTGAGGTATATACATTAATCTACTTGGTTCTTAATTTAGTCATTATTGCTCACACTTTGTCAAACAATAGATACCATTAACATGAAGACTATATAATGATTTCTTAAGCTATACACTAGATGTTCCTGACCCTTAGAAATAAAATAGGCCATGTATACATCTTTGAGTAAATCATATTTGAGGATAATCGTTAATGATCATAAGTTATGGCATTAGTATACATAATCGGGTCATTGTTCCTTTATTTAAATAAGTTATGTAATCTTCAAAAATTCATGGGTCGCCTATATTTAAAAAAAAAAAAATCTTATAGGCATATTAACTTTCATGGGTTTCAATGTCAAACATCATGACTGGGATCTTTTATGGTCTTTTACGGTGTTTCATTTGCCCCTGCATTTGAAAAGTCCTTTTATGAGGCATAACTTGAATCACCTAATAAACATTATTAATTTTCATGTTTCATATTCAACAATGATCTTGATGTGTATGTATAAACAATAATTATCCCTAAAATATTTTCCATCACTTGACAAGTTCCTCTTCTTTAGCCTCTTCCAACTCACGTAGCCCTCCCACTTTCTTCTCAATCTCCTCGATCAACTCCTCACGCCACAACTCTGATCTCGCCTTTTCTTCTATATCTTCTTGCTGTGTACCAAATGTACAACATATCATGCATGTTAAAATCAAAATCTAATGATGTTTAATGAAAAAAAATTACCTTTTCATACACCCAATGCCCAGTTCCATCTCCTCCATCTTTCCTATAATGTTCTGAATCATAATATGGATCCTGAAAAGCGTATTCCATGCTATTTAGAAAAATTTTGAATCCTAAATCATGGGGAAATATATGAACTTTCTTACCTTTGTCGAACCAAAGAAACAACATCCCCAAACAGTAAACATGATGTAGAATGTATCTGCAACAAGAATGGAGCATGAAGTAACATCATCGATCAATAACAAATGGATTGAATTTGACCAAGCGTGTTGTGGTTCTATGAGAGAAATTAACGAAGACTCACAAACGTTCTTAATGGATTGATCGCTGAGATGCCATATGGATTTGTGGGTGATGAGGTCTCTTTGGCCTTCCATGTGCTCAACTAAAACCGCCATTAATGTCAAATGTGGTAGAGCTTTCAATCTACTCTTGTTACTATCTTCACCAACTGAATGCTGTGTTCATATTGAACTTGCATCATGTTTTTTTTGGATGAATGGGAAAATAAAATAGTGTTTAATTTGAAGTCAAGTAAACGATCGACTTCATATAAGTATGGCATAAGTCTTGCCTTTTGAGAGATTACAAAAATATACTAGAGTTGGAAAGTATAAAATAATAACCTTACATGAATAGAATGAGAACATTCCATATATATATAAGCGTATATTCTGGAAATTTAATGAAAGAATGAAAAACCTCAACAAATGACAAGTAAAAAATAAGAAAATAAAAAAAAATAAAAAATAAAAAAAATAAAAAAAACCAAAATAAATCATTGTGACAAAATGAAGGAGAATAAGACATGTGGCAAAAAAAACATTCATTTATTAGAGATGAACCAAACAAACTATTTTGATACATTGATAATAATATGCTTTTGAGAATTAATTAGTTGATATTTGCATTAAAGACATTCATTAATCCATATCATATAAGGTACAAATACAATTGTAACAAGTTAATATATGCATATGATTGAACCTATGACCTATTTAATAGAAACATTTTGTTAGATACCTTATTAGCCAGACGGGCTAACCCAACTTATAATAAAATATATATTTTATACGTTAAAATCTTAAAATCACCTCCCATATACACTTTTATCTTTTCTAAAAAATCTATAGTAGTACCAACAATAGGTTGCAAAAACAGCAACAATTATTGACGTGTTCTACATTTTTTTTTTAATAATATTTCTATGAATATTATTTAACAGAAAGCTATTATCTTAAACTAAACCACTCATTGATTATTTTCAAAAGTTTTTATGTAACTAATTTATATATTTTCATTTTTAGAAAATATTTTTAAACTCCATCATTAAATTTGTAATTGTAATTTCTAAACATATACTATATATTTAAAAAGAAATGTTACTTAATAATGATATTTAATAAAAAGATATACATCAAAATACTTCAAAGTTAAAAATAATGTTTCACGTGTCTGCATATTATTATATTATTACGTAATAAACTGTAAAATAATTGTATGATTGTTATAAATTTAATATTTAACAATAAAAAAGAAATTTTTTTTTGAATCCGCAAATCTAAGTCTATTCCTACCTAAACTACCAAACTACTTCATGATATGAACCCAACCTTAATAAGGGAGGACAACAACGGATATCGCTAGGCAGCCAAGAGCTTTTAGTGATAAAGAAGAAAATTAAACAAATTAATTAGTCAAGATATATATTATTATGGAAAATATTAATAAAAGGGTTAGTTGTTGCAAAAAGAAAATGAGTGATGTTAAGAATGTTTAAAAAAAATCAAAATATTCATAATCAACAATCTTGCAATATTTTGAAGTTTAACGTCAAGAAGATGGGGTTCCCAAATTTGAAAATTATAACAACCCCATTATCAGAGGATTCATATTCGCCATGAATCGCAGGAAGATGAGTAGAAGATACTAACCAGATGTAAGCCATTGACGAATTTTGAGCCTGAAAACTGCCTGAGCTGAAAATCAAGAAACATGATTTTAAGTTCACTGTCATCAATTTATGTGCAGAATCTTACTAGAAAATCAACGGTAAAGTGGAAATGATTACTGGTTTTGAAAATGGATTCGAGCCCAATCTTGTTGTCTGCAAAGAGGGCTTATAATGGAGGTGAGGATTGATCATTTTGAAGCTCATAATTGTTTCTGCCATGGATGATGATAAGGAAACAGACCAACCTTCAAACCCTTCTGTTTTGTGTGTGCTGTTTTGTTGGGTGAAAAAGAGGATAAGGAGCCCATTTGTAACCACCCTTTCATTTCGTCTAATGCTCTATATAAAAAATTTACATTTCTGGTTTGGATTATCTTTAAGAACAGATTTCAATCAGGAAGGGTATGTAATTATGAATATTTTAAAAAGTAGAAACTAATTTAAAATATGCATTGAATTAAAATATGTTAAATACAATTTACCTTAATCATAAAATCTGTACATCATCTATTTTTATTGGAAAATGATTTAGTAGAATAATGAAATAATCAATTTTGTATTATCTTTATTATTTTTTAATTATTTGACATTAAATTTATATTGTTTAAAGAATATTATTTTGACAACTATTGAAGATCTAGCCGGTTTATCATGTGTCCTTAGAGCACATACTAGAAAATCTTTTATACTTATATGTGTATTCATTAAACAATATTAAACTTATATTTTCATACACAGTTCATCATGAAACTAACTTTTACACATATGTAGTCGCGTTCATCTTCTTCGGTCATCATCAATTTTCTCATATTTTCTCCGGCCAACACAGCTCCAAAAAAAGAAAGAAAATGTCATTTTACATGTTTGTTTCTTTTTTACACATTGCAGGGCGCACACTGTCATTCTTCTCCTTTTAAGTGAAAACGCTCCTACACATGAAAACGCGCCTACACATTTTACCATACGTAACTTCCTTCCTGTCGGTACTCACATATTTCCCCACCCCTCTCCGTCTCCGGTTACTTTATAAAACTAAGGTTAAGCATAGATAAGTTTGGGTCGGTTTTTGGGTAAACTTGAACCCAAACCAAGAAGTTTGATTTTTGGATTTAGAAGTCCATTGGGTTCAGTTTTCAATTTCTTTGGTTAGTTTTCGATTTCAACCCATGGGTTGATAGGTTTTAGGTTTTAGTTTCACCACATTGAGTTTTTAGTTTTTTCGATTCAAACTTAGTAAATAATATATAATAATAATAATAATAATAATATATTAAATGTAGTAACTCATGCTTAAGCACTAACTTATGTTTTTAGTTCTAGTTGAATAATATAATAACTATTAATAATATATTAAATTTATTAAATAAATTATATAATATGTGGGCCGGTTTCAGTTCTTTAGGCCAGTTTATGGTTTTGTTTTACATATTTGGTCGGTTTCAGTTTTATGGGTGGGTTTTAAAAGTCCAAACTGATTTTTTTGGTTTTAAACAATCGAAACCCAAAGCTGACTATGTGGGGTTAGGGATTTTTTCATTAGGGGTGAGCAAAATCGAAACTGAAAAAAAGAAACCAAACCCAAAGCTAACGGTTTGGGTTTGGTTTCTGTTTTTCGATTTCGATTTTGCCGTTTTTTGGTTTTCAGTTTCCATTTTGTTCACCCCAAGTGAAAAACTCCCTACCCCCACATCCTCCTCTCCCTTGTCTTCTTGAATAGTGCTCTACGAGTAACTACATTTGTTCAAGGTTGCAATTTTATTATTGGAATCCCAATTTAGATTTATTGGAGGTTCGAGTTGATTTTCTTTTAGATTTATTGGAGGTTCGAGTTAATTTTAGGTTTGAATGTGAGTTTGAATCGATTTTTTCTTAGGTTGAATCTCATTTCATATTAGCTACTTGGTGGTGGAGATGGGTGGTTGTGATGGCGAATTGTAAATTCCCAAAAACCATACTAAAATTTTTTTCATTTCTCAAAATACATTTCCATAAAACCCAGAAAGTAATTAATCATTTTTTTCAAAACATAGCCATAAAAATCAAAGTATCAATATCATCTCTCAAACATAAATCAACAGGATGATATGTACGATCACAGCTTCACCTTCTCTCAATCATCTGAAGTACCTAAAGCATTTAAATCCACAATTGCAAGCCAACGCTTAGTGAGTTCCCCAAAATAGCCAACACAACAATACACATACAATGCATGCACGTATGAGCCTACAATTTACTTGGACCTCCTTGCAAGGCCTACAGTGCACCTGGACCACTCTACTAAGCCTACAATCTAACTGGACCGCTCCCTTGGACCTACAATCTGCTTGGACCGACTCGCAAGGCCTACAGGTCACCCGGACCGCCTGGGTATTTTGGCCTACAATACAAAGCAAGATGGCCTCAACCTTACCACAATATGCTGACATAAGAAAACGAACAAACAAATAAACAATAGCCAATAATGCAAGTAATCATATCAGATCTACCAATCTAAGATATCACTACAACATACCAACATCCTACACACAAGGATACATACTATACTACAAAGTATAGTGAGAAAACTCACCTTGCAGTCTAACAAACAAACAACACAACTAACACAATCCAAGAATGGTTACTACGATTCACCTATACAATAATCAGGTACCAATTCTTAATCTATATCCGAAATACCTCAAATTGACTTAAAGCAAAACTTGGTCAAAAAGTCAAAGGTCAACAGTGAAATTCAACGATCAAAAGTCCCAGAGTTGGTCACCACATCGTGGCTAAGAATTTGCCACGCCGTGGTAACTTCACGACAAAACAGTGGCAAAGACTACTAAACGCCACGTCGTGGAGGCTAACCTTCTTGTCGTGTGTACTTTTCTGAGCAGCTGAATGCATTAAGCTATTAATCATTCAAGTTTCCTATCTATACTTTCCCGAAGGCTTTCTCTCACCTAATGAGTCATAAAAATTGGTTTTTCATAGACATGAACGTCCAATGCATGTCTTGAACTCCAACTAGGTAAAAAATGATGAAATTAAGTTCAAAGCTATTGGATTAGGTGTTTAAGTCAATAACTAAATTGGTATGTACTTGAATTAAAAGCAAAGTCCTTTTGCGTTGCACTCAAAACTAGTAATTGACATAATGAATTATGGAGAGGGAGGTTGTTTTATTGGTTTATTATATGATTAATAAATAGCAATAAATAATTTATCAATGTATTCTGAGATTCAAATATTAATTAGAAATAGTATTATTTAATTACTAATTAATCATAAATGAATTAGAATTAACTTTGGGATTAATTTGATTAAATAAATGTAACATTATGATGATAAGGTAGTTCTAATTTTAAACCTCTTGGTCCCTAAGTTCAATAAAGTGTGCAAAAGAGCCCTAGTGAAATTTTCGTAAATAATGCTTGAAGGAGTACGCATGTACGCTAAGCGTAGTAGGGCAAGCCCTAGTACGTTGGGCGTATATCTTGTACGCGGAACGCACTTGCCAAATATGGAAAATCTAATTTTTAGGGTTTAGCTCATATATAAACGCCAGTATAACCTCATTTCCCCTCTCCTCATCAACCACTTTCTCTTAGATCATTCTTGCAACCCTAATTTGCCTTGTGGAGCCATTCCAAGCTTAAGAGTGTGCGTTTTTGTGATTTGAAGAAGATGGAAGGAAGTAAAACTCACCTTTGAGGAGTGAAGCACTTTGGATTTGGGATTTGTACCTCATTGGCAACCTTTTAACTTATAAAGCTTGAAATTTATCCCTCTATAATATAGATATATAAGTTAGTGTTCTAATGATGCTTTTGGTCCCAAAATCTTAGATCTTGAGCATGGTATGTACTTGACCCATTAAGCTATCCTTTCAAACCCTAAGAGGGTTAGGTTTCGGTTGGAGCTGATATTCGGATTCGAGACTCATCAACTTTTGTCCAATTTGTAAGGTGAGCTTTCCTCACTGTACTTACAGGACGAAGGCACCAAGGCCGACCCATCTGTTTGATATCCTGCTATGCCTTAAGTCATAAAAATGGAGTCCTAATGGTGGGTTTTGTCCCATGCATGTTATGGAGAGTCTTAAGGCATTAAGATGTTGGGTTTTTATGGATTAAGAACTTATTGAGCATGCAAGGTCATAAAGTTGGAAACTTTATGACTTCTAATGACATTGTGACCTTGGATCTGTGAAGTGAAGTGACAGAAGGTCCTCCTCCAAGTAAGAATGGTGAATAAACTTTAATGGAGATTGAACAATTAGGTTTGGTAAAAGTGACTGAATTAAATGTTGATGATGTAAATAAAAAGATGTGGCGATCATGGTTTGAAAAAGAAAAGCATATTTTGGGATTTACCGTATTGAAAAACAAACCTCATTAGACATAATTTTAATGTTATGCAAATTGTAAAAAATATATTTGAGAACTTTTTTTACACTGTAATGGATGTCAAAAGGAAGACGAATGGCAATGTAGCAGCGAGAAGAGATATGAAGCTCTATTGTTCGAAGAGAAAAGGAGCCGAAGATAATCAAAGAGTGTACTACCTCTTGACAAGAATCAAGAGAAAGCCATATGTGAGTGGGTGGAGAAATTTTAAAGCCCCGATGGTTATGTTTCTAATTTGGGGAGGTGTGTTGATTTAACAGGGTGTAGAGTGTTCAGAATGAAAAGCCATGATTGTCATGTTTTTATGCAAATATTGATGCCAATTGCATTTCGTGAGATGTTACCAAAACATGTGTGGGAAGCATTAACAGATTTGAGTATTTTCTTCAAAACATTAACAACAACATCAATCAAAACAAAAGACATGGAAAGGATTGAAACCGAGATCCCAATAATTCTATGTAAATTAAGGACCATCTTTGTACCTGGTACTTTTAACTCCATGGAACATTTACCAGTACATTTGCCAAACGATGCAAAGATTGTTAGTCCCGTCCAATATCGGTGGATGTATCCATTTCAAAGGTTTGTATGTTACATCATAATGTATGATGCTATTTTTGTAAGCTAATTTAAACATTCTTTACAATAGATATATAAATCATTTGAAAAAGGATGTGAAAAATAAAGCTCGAGTGGAAGGGTCCCTGGTATTTTTAACTCCATGGAATATTTACCAGTACATTTGTCATATGAAGCTAAGATAGCCGGTCCCGTACAATATCGGTGGATGTATCCGTTTGAAAGGTTTGTATGTTACATCATAATGTATGTTGCTATTTTTCTAAGCTAATTTAAATATTGTTTACTATAGATATATAAATCAATTGAAAAAAGATGTGAAAAATAAAGCTCAA